CAAGCTTTCTAATCTGAAATTCAAGAAAAGACAGAAGGATTTATCGATCTAGAGGAGAAAAGGAGTTAAACAGAGAAATTTGGGAGAGAAAGGAGCTCACTGACCCAGAGACCTTCTCTCTAAAACTTCTCTCTAGAATCAGAACTCCTCACGGCCCCCCCTCACCCCTATTTATAGGCAATCCGGAGAGGCCAGAACGGCCTGTACCGAGTTCGGACTGGCCCGTTCCGAACTCCCATTTCACACACAAAATCCACGCCCAGAACGGCCCGTTCTGAAAACAGAACGACCCGTTCTGGGACTCATCCGGAACGGCCCGTTCTCCCTCCGGAACGGCCCGTTCCCAACCACGAACTCCCAAATCCAGTGGCCTCCCAGAGCACCACTCTCATATATCAGTGGCCTATCCAAGCACCACTCTCAAGAGACTCTATGTGAGCTCTTCCAGTTCGAAAATATTTTTCCTCTCCTCAAGTCTTAGGCTAGACTCATGCCATAGGCATCACATGCAATCATGCATCATACATCATAATGGTCTGCCCACCATCATGATCAACAATCATACACATGTCATAAGACATCACATGCAATAATGCATCATTCATCATAAATGATCTATCCATCATTATGATCAATAAACATATTCATATTCAAACATTCATACGTATCATTACAAACATACATATGAATCATATCGCACCATACATACATATATGATCTAAAACTTTAACTTTAAACATGCATAAGCATCAATTTAAAACAATTATTTATAAATATAATTACGCTTGGCGCAGTCAGCTCGCACCTAGCCTAACACCAACCCAAGAGCTCTGAGCTCTTCCACGCCTGGCACACTCAACCTGCGCCCGGCCTAATCCCATTGAGTTTGTAAACTCACATACATCTAGGGGTGGGCAAAACGAACTGAACTGAACTGAACTTATAAAAACTATACTGAACTTAAAAGTAGTTCATATGAACTGAACTAAACTAAACATTAGTTTAGACGAACTGAACTGAACTATTTTTTTGTGTCATTGAACTGAACTGAACTATACTATAAAAATTTGAACTGATTTATAATTTAAACTGCACTAAACTATTATGATATTTTGAATTGAACAATTTTGACTCATTGATCTATCAAAATAGGACACATTTGCCAACTTTACTCTATTTTCCATTTTATTTAAATTTTTTAAAGGAAAAAAATATAAAATTAAGTCAAACAAACTCAGTGAATTTTAAGCCTAAAAATAAGTAGTTCAACATAGCTCAATTGATCCATTAAGTTCGACAAAATTGATACAAATTTTTTTTCAGATCATTTTTTTTCTAAAGTTTTGGTTATTAGACTATCGAGCTAATCCATTAAGACATAACATGTTAAACACATTTAATTTTTATTCTTTTATAAAAATAGTTCAATTTTTATAATTCAGTTCAGTTTTTATAGTTCAGTACAGTTCAACTTTACAACAGTTCAGTTCAGTTCAGTTTTTTTTAAACAGTTCAGTTCAGTTTTTTTACAAACAGTTCAGTTTTTTATAGTACAGTTCACCACCAGTTCAGGTCAGTTCAGTTCAGTTTAGTTTTTTTTGCCCACCCCTACATACATCCTAAATAACAAACATTCTAGCTTCTCTTACCTGAAGATTGGCTCAGATAGCCAAACACTGAACAAAAGTAAAATTTCCCCTCGAGGCTTAACTTGGAACTTCAGATATAAAACAATATTCATTGATGATAATAAATAAATATAAATATTTTTATAGTGTGTTTTTCATATAAAACAATATTCATTGGTGATAATAAATAAATATAATAGTAGTTGGTGGTTGATTTAATTAACCTTGTTAAAAAATTGAAGAGACTAATGGGCAGTGAAAGTTGGAAAATGACCTTTTATGTAACAGCTTAGTGTGTGTTTGAATTAGAGTCAAGATGTGATTTTTCACGTTTAACTGGAAATAATAAATAGTAGTTTCTACTAGGGGTGTTCAAAAAATTATATTAAATTAAAATATTGTAAAAACTAAACTAAACTAGACTATAAAAAAACTAAACTAATTTTTATAAAAACTAAACTAAACTATATTTGAAATTTAGTTTTAAAAACTAAACTATTATAAAAATTAGTTTAGTGCACTTTAACTATTAAAAAAAACTTATATTTAAGAAATATTCTAAATAATTAATTAGAACTAAACTAATAAATAATTAAATTGAATTAAAATAGAAAAAACTAAATTATTTTTATAAAAATTGAACTAAAATGAATTTTATGTTCAATTTTATAAATCTAAAACTATTTTTTAAAGAGTAGTTTGTTAGACCAAACTATTAATAAAACTGAATTCTTATTATTAATACTTTTTTCGTAACTTTTCAATTTTTTCTATTGTCCACTTTTGAGTCAATATACTAGTGGTTTAGTGCTATTATGCACAATTACACATTTTTTATATTAATTTACAGGATTAAAAGAAAAAATTAATTTTTATTTATTAATTGAATAAAAATTTATATACCTTTCGTAATTATTACTCTTTCAATATTTTTAATATAATTATTATAAAATTTAAAAAAAAAATGTATTATATATGTATGTACAAACTTCTCTCTTTATTATCCAAATAATTTTATTTTTGATGCTAAAAAATATTATTTTAATAAAAAAAATTATAATATTAATTAATTGAGTTTACAACATTATAAAAGTAACGGTATACATTTTTATAATATTTTTTAAAATTCATACTATTTTGTAAAGAACGTATTAACTTGAAAAAATAGTTACATGTAATATTTAGATATTGTTTTTAAACTTTTTTTATTTATTGGTAAAGATAGGAAAGATTACAAAGATGGTTGCAGTGAGGATTGAATCTAGGTCCTCATGCTTCTAACTACCCCAACCCCTCCCCACCCAAACTTTTTTATTTAATAATTAATAATATCGGTAAATTGATTAAAAATTAATAAGATTTGATTGATTTTTAAAAAATATGAATAAAAAATCTATTATGTGAACTTTTATCAATATTATACTTGTTTTACATTTCAAACTATTTTAAATTTAATTCATAATTAATATCAATAATTTGGTAGCTCAGTTTAAAAATGTTGATTTTAAATTTGTTTTTTTGAAAGTAGTTCAATTTAGTTTATAGTTAATAATAGTTTAATTTAGTTAATATTGTAGTTTAGTTCAAACTCCTAGAACTATAGTGCACTAAACTAGATAATAGTTTAGTTTAATTAATATTTATTTTAGTTCAATTTAATTTTGTGAACTATTTATTATAATTTAGTTTAGTTTTCTTTTAGTTTAGTTCAATTTAGCAATTTAGACACCTCTACATATCACACAGAAAATAATTTATTTGAATCATTTATTTCATCACTAACTTATAAGTTTTCAACCGAACTACAAAAATCATGTAATATTTTTAAATAATTAAAATATGTAATATTATATATTTAATACTCCACATCGCATGAACATAAGCCCAAAATAAAAAGGGCTAGATAAATTAAGAGTTTGCAGTCTAATTTATTAAAGAAACCGATTATAAAATGTTAAATTCATCTTACTAAAATTCTGGTTATTTTCAAAAATAACTTTTGAATATTTTTTACGTTTTTGGTACAATAAAATTTATTTCTTGGACAACATTTTTACTTTTGTGTTTTATGACTAATGTTCATACGATAGGGGTAGCAATATTTACCAGATATTAAGATGGTATGGTATGTTTTGATCAGATTTCTTGACAAGGCAGCTATTCTTGAAAATGAAGGGAGCTTAGCAGAGAAAAAAAGTGCCTGGAAACTAGCAACCGTAACCACAGTTGAAGAACTGAAGCTTATCATCAACATGATCCCTATTTGGTTATTCACTTTACCATTTGGAATCTGTTTTTCACAAACTTCCACTTTCTCCATCAAACAATGTGCCATCATGAATAGAAAGTTAGGCAACAGGTTTGAGGTTCCTGCAGGTTCAATTGTCACCTTTGCTGGAATTGGGATGATATTTTGTGTCACCATTTATGACAAGCTCCTAGTGCCAATGCTAAGAAAACTAATGGGAAATGAAAGAGGAATCAGCATCCTCCAAAGGATTGGTATTGGAATGTGTTTCTCGGTTATCACAATGATAGTAGCAGCTTTGGTAGAGAGAAGAAGGCTCGAGGCTTTTGAGATGAATGGCCCATTAAAGGGTTCTTTGTCAATGAGTGCCCTTTGGTTGGCCCCACAAATTCTATTAATTGGATTTGGTGATGGGCTCGCTCTTGTTGGCTTGCAAGAGTATTTCTATGACCAAGTGCCTGACTCAATGAGAAGCTTGGGAATAGCACTTTACTTTAGTGTGATTGGAGCTGCAAGTTTTGTTAGTAGTTTGTTGATAACAATTGTTGATCATGTGACAAGTAAGATTTGGGAAAGTTGGTTTGGTAAGGATTTAAATAGTAGCCGTTTGGACCAATTTTATTGGCTGCTTGCAACCATGACCACATTGAACTTGTTCGCATTTGTGTTCTATGCTCGAAAGTATTCCTATAAAAATGTGCAAAAGGTTTCAATGGTCAACCATTATAAAGGCAAAAGTGATGATGGTAGAGTAGAGACCGTGATTTGAATGAGTGAAATTAGTTATATGTAATATAAATGACTAAGATTCCATCCTTCGATGATGAATATTATAAATACATAGAATTTCCTTCTTAACGTACATATTGTTGATAACTTGTGATACAAAAAAAAAAAATGTTTTTTTTTTCTTCTAAAACTTCTTTGGAGTCCATGTAATATGAAAATAAAAGTATGTATGTAATTGTCTTTTCAAAAAGTTCTCATTAATGTTTTTTTTCCAATTATCTCATTTTGAAATGATGTATGTATTTGTTTAATGAGGAGAGATATGGGAAAAAAATTTACCAAATTTCTTCAAAAAAACTTGCAAGAATTTTATTGAGTTTTGGCATAAAACTTAAAAGGAGGGTTTTTTTTTTTTAACAAGTTTCAATCGATAAAACTTGTAAGAAACATTTTTTTTAACAAGTTTCAAACTATAAAACTTGTAAGAAGAATTTTTCTAATTTCCCCTAAAAACTTGTAGGGACAGTTTCTTATAAAACCTATAATATATTTGAGATAATGAATATTTTTTAGATGTAGATATAAGAGGTTGAATCACGTTAAATATATTATGTATTATCTTTCTTTTTCTTTTGTGTTTTTATTTGTATTCTTATTATTATGCATAAAAAAGAACGAGTTTTTTTTGTTCTCGTGCAACTGTAGTGTCAAAGCTTTAGTTTGTGCAACTTAATGACTTGTCATATTGAAGCTTAATATATGATCATTTTCAAATATGTGTATATTTTCTAACTAATTTAGGAAATTATTGAACATGTCTTATGCTTTTGAGTCCTGTTTTGATCAAAATAAGTATTAAAAGTTAGTTTAGTTTGTTTACACATATTTATTCAAGTTATAGAGTTTTTTATTATTATTTTTAGTATTTTAGACGAGAAATGGGAGAAGATAAGAAGCTAATCAAAGAGACCCAAGTTGAGAGCATTAAAGTTATCAACCCTCACTCGAGCAAATCACCTTGTTCGCTTAAGTAAGGCTATGTCGAGAGCAGTATTTGGAGAATAAGAGACTCTCCACTAGTACAAAATATACATTATACGTCGGTTATTTTACGGATTTTACGTCGGAAAAATGTGCGATGTGGAAGCGGGAGACGTAAAATTTACGTCGGACATAACAAATATGACGTAAATTTACGTCGGACATAACAAATCCGACGTAAAAAGTTGTAAAAAAATTATAATAAAAAAAAACGACTACAAGCAGAACGGGCTGTTCTGCTTGGAGAACAGCCCGTTCTGCACGGAGAACGGGCCGTTCCCCAAGCAGAACGGCCCGTGCTGCAACCTGGACTTGGCTCTCCTCCTTATTTTCCTCTGCTGGTTTTTCGTCTGGCTTCTCTTCTCTGTTCTCCTCAGGCTTGGCTTCAGCCACTAGTTGTTCCTACTCAAAATATAAAAAGGAACACACATAATAAGTACAAGAACTAATTAATGTAGACCAAGTTATAACACTATCAGCAAGAAAAAAGGTTTCACCAAGAAATATCACCTGTTTTTGCTTCCTCACCCATTTTTCGTATGAATGGAGACTGAAATGTTAGAAAAATTATAAGGAAGGAAGGAGTATAGGAGCAGAGGGATTTCAACGCGCGGGAGAAGAAGTTTTTGAAATGTCTCCAAATCTCCAGCTACTAGTGACCTTCTTTTAAGGGCAGTCATGTGCATTATTTACGTCGGACAAGGGGGGTCCGACGTAAATTATGCAATCTACGTCGGAGGGTAATTGTGTCTGACGTAGAATGTATAATTTACGTCGGACCCCCCCTTGTCTGACGTAAATTAGTTAACTTTTATTTACGACAATGCCACCGCGTATTTACAACGTCGTATTTTGGGAGTTCTGACGTAAATGGAGGGACGTAAAATCCTATTTTTATACTAGTGCTCGCTTAAGCAAGCCTCTTGGCTGCTTGAATGAGTTATGGTTGCAAGCACCTCCAGAACCAACTAATAAGCTTCCTTGAGTGAGTAACCCTCGTTGCTAGCTTAAGCGAGTCAACGAGTAAAAATTCCATACATGAATCTATAAATGTCCAAGATGGGAAGAAATAAAATATTTGTATAAAGTGTCATTGAATTTAGATTTGAGAGACTAGAGTGAAAAAGTGAAAGTCATCATAAAGTTCTTTTTCTTTTCCTTTTTGTGATTCAATTAACTATGAGTGACTAATTCACTTGACTAACAAAACTAATTTTGAATCTATGTAAATTTCTAATTTTGTTCAGTAAAGTTATTTTTTAGTTAATTATTATTCTTTTACTCTTAATGTTTGTTCTTGGACTAATCAACAATCACAGATCTCATAGAATTAACTGAGATTAAGAAAATTTTTAAAATACAATCCAACAAATAACACTAATGATGTTTATTGTCATATATAAAGAATTATTAATTGATGTTTTAAACATTTGATCTTAATATAAATTGTTTAATTAACTTCGCTAAAAAATTGAGAGTTTTATTAAAGAATCTAAAATTTCTCACTTAAAAACCTAGGATTAAAATACTTTCATTAGTTATTCGAGTCACATAATAATAACTAAAATTAAATAATTGAAAATAATATTTGTGAGAAATATAAGTGAAATTAATCTTTGACATGTTTTACTACGAATATACAAACAATTTTAATTCACTTTCATATTATAAACCTTGAAAATTTGTTCTGTAGTTTATGGTTTACACAAATTAGTTAATCGTTCAAACTACTTTTCCTATATCATCCAAAAAAGTATTCAAAGTATTCAAGTTATTTTTATTATTAGATAAATCAATTGGATATTAGTTTCACTAAATAGATTGTGAGTCCAATATTTTAATAAAATATGCATTTCATTTATGTGATAATAAATAGTGTGTTAAATAAATGTGAATAACAGTTTTTGTATTAAAAAAAACATATTATTCGATTCATAATAAATGAGTCGATATAAGTGAGAAATCAAATAAAAAATATGATGATTAGCTTAAAAATAAGATGCTCTAGGTAAAGAGTGAAAAACTTTATTTTCTTATCTCCTAATAAAATTGATCACACAAGTTTAAGCACCAGCACCCAAAAAAAGTTGAATGTGAAAAACAGTTATAAACCCTAATAGTAATCCTCTTGAGATCACTTGAAAATGAAGTGACGTACGTTTGAAAAAACCTCAAGCTAACCATTAGTATTTTTTTTTATGCCGAGCTAACCAATTAGAATGAGTATTTTTATATATTATGATCCTTTTCACGTCTTAATTAAATGTCAACATAATTGTGTTGCAGCCACTCTATGGTAGCTTTTTCATAATTAGCCCACTTCCAAAACACATAAATGCTAGACATCATTATTCACAATATATATTTCGCCCACGCATTGCTTTGCATTTCTTCCATACTTGTATTTCACTATTAATTTGATAGTATATCCAATGAGGTAAAGCTGCACAGTGCCTTCGATCTGCTGTTTAGCATAGCCAACGAAATCAGCCCCAAGGTACGACATAACCTAATTTATCATGACTGAATCACAAAAACTTCATCATTTTAATTATAAAAAAAATTAACCTAAATTTATTTATAACTTAACTCATCACAAACCACCTCATGATGAGTTAAGTTCACTCATGAAACTGATTCATGTTTTTATTTTTATGTTTTAATATGTTAATTTTTGTAATTATATATGTTTATATCATAAACTAAATTTTATATATATTAATTATGAATTATGATAACTAGTATCAATTTGATATTATTTATTGATATTTTTTTAGCAATTTTGATATTATAAGTTAATTAAGTTGATTGTGATTGATGTCTATTTTTTTTTACATTTTTTTTCCTATTACTTACATATTTATAATTCTAAAATATTAGATTATAATATATTTTTTTATGAAGTTTAATAAAAAAAATTAAATATTTAAATGATCAAACTCATTTAATCCACCATCTTGTTGTGATGAATTGGATCAAATTAAATTTTCTTAAATTCATTAAAAGATGAATCGAATTGAGTTAATTCATCTATTACATAGTCCGTAATGAGTCAAATTACACACTTTGACTATTAACAATTAGAAGAAAAAAAATATGAATAAAAATAACAATAAAAAAAATCAAACTATTTTTTAAAAATAAAAGTTAGTTTAAGTATATTTAACTACACTAGCTTTATTAAAAAAATAACTATTTTTTAAAACTATTCCTTTATGAAACTTGATACTAAGAATAAAAAGATAATTAATTTATAATCTCAATTAAATTAAAAAAATATTTTAAAATAATAAAATTAAATAAAATAAATTTAGTTAATATTTATTTAGTCTAACAAACATTTTTGTTGTTGTTTAAATTCGGAACCAACAAGAAGAAGTATATATATATATATAACATATATTTGATTTGAAGCACGAATTATTGTCTAGCTAATAGCTATGATGCCTAATGTCAAAAGTTTGAATTGTTTTTGCATATAATCCTGTGAACAGTATTCTTACACTTATTGCTAATGAAAATTGAAACAGAAGATGCAACTTTTCTGCTATTAGTGCTTTGAAATTTGAATAGCTAACATTGCCAAATTGTAATAAGAGTGTCACTTATTAAAAAAGGTTTTAAATATGTTTTAGTGCGTGTTTGCTTCGAATGTCAATGGTGATCCAAGCATATGTAATTAGTCATCAATAATACAATTTTATTGGACTTTTTCTATGTATAAAGATGTATTTTTTATTATAAAATATTTTGTTTCAGATCGGTAAAATTTTCATGAGCAAAAAAATTCTTATTCTACAAATTAATTTAAAATCAATCATTATATATAAGATATGGATTTCTATATTAAATGAGAATATTGTTTTTAAAAAAATTTCTTCAAAGACAGTTTGTAGGATTCTTTTAATTTCCTATTAAATTTGATTTTTATTTATCATGAATAATTTATAAATTAAATATTAATATTTTAAAATAAATTATTAATAAATAAAAATATT